GCGCAAGAGCACTGCCATCGCTCGATCCCATGGAGATCTAGGGTTTCCCCCGGAGTTGCCCGGGTTGTCAAGGACCAGACAAAGATGCCGACGTGTCGCACTCGCCATCGCGCCGACCGTGACCTGGAGACTAAGCTCACTCTTGAGCCCAGATCCGGCCGCGCCGCCGCTGATCTGGTCGCGCCGCCGTCGTCCCTGGCGACCGTGGTGCCCCAGATCTTGAGGCCGCCTGCCATGGAGAATGGGATCGCCGGAGCGCCGCCAGCCCCCGTCGTGACGTCTGGCCGCACGCCACGCTCTAGCCCAGGAGTGTCGGCCCACGCCAGCTCCTCACGAGCGGGAGGGCATCTAGTCCCCACCGCCACCAGCGACGGCAAAGCTTTGCCTAGCCGCGCCCTTGGGCGGCGGGGAGGGAGGAGGAGGACGAGAGGGGGAGTCGGGGGCAACGGGATCTGGGGACCTCCCAACAGTCACACGAGGGCGACTCGGGAGGGACGGGAGGGGAGGAGACGGGATCTGGGGACCATTTTCCCATGTTTCGATAAGATGCAAGCTCGATGGGCTTTTTCTTTTCAAAACTGTTGTGGCTTTGATGGTTAATAGCCACGTTTGAATTTGAAGTCGGTAGGATGGCATTTGATTTGGCAGCATTGGAGTTGGAAGCGCTCACACGCGAACTCATCTCTCCTGTATTGTTTGTCTTTCGTTCTTTGCAAACTAGTCGGTTGAAAGATTTTCTTTTCGGAACGGAGGCAAAAATTTTGCATCATCGATTAGTTAAGAAAAAAAGAATTGCTCAGTTAATTTACGAAAAACAGGTGAAAACCAATACACACGAAGCATGAACAAACTACTCACACGGCATGAAACCCCGCAACCACACAGGCAGCCCGCCAAACTCCCCGAATACACAACCTTCACAAACCCTGACACTACTACTACGCCAAGTGACTCCCCACGAGAACACCTCGACACAAGACATCAAGCACCTCCAAACCCACAACGACAACCCAAACCAAGAGGACAAGCCGAGAGACCGAAGATCATCCATCAAGCAGTCGAGACACCTTGCCTTTGGCATCACTTTTTTCCTTTGCCCACCTTCTTTTGTTTTGCCCCTTACTGGAGTTCCCGTCAGGTGGCAAGCAATCGACCTGCCCAAACCAGGTCTAGCAACCTCCACGCTGGTTAGCAAATCACAAAGTTTCTTCGCAAAAAGAGGATTTGGATTTGGAGTAGGTGCCAACACAAGTGGCTCAAATGGTCATGCCACTCACAGGCATCACCTGCCCGACGATCGCAGACGAGGGAAGGGTAGCAACATCTAAAACTTCGCGCTCCATGACGCCGAGAGGTAGGTTGTCTAACCCCTGAAAAGGCTCCATAGGTGGTGGTGAGGGCATCAGGTCCACCTCCGAAGCCTGACAAGGCTCCACGGGGGGTGGTGAGGACACCCGGTCCACCTCTGAAGCCTGGAGAGAGCCTAATTTGAGTTGCTCCATCGACACAGGCGAAACAGGTTCCCCACATAGCACCTGCAACTCGGGCATGATCAGCAGCACCAGAGACACAACCTCAGCGGAGGCTTCACCCTTGGAGTCCGACAACACAAGGGGCGTTGAACTAGACCCAACACGGGGCGATAAGCTACCAAAGAGCTCCGCACCCACCTCATCCATGAAGCCAATAGAAGACTCAACCACGGGAGCTTGTGCAAGAGGGAGCCTTTGCAAAGCAGCCTCCGCGCGCTCCAGAAAGCTCCCAACACGCACTAGCCAACCCTGCAAGGAGTCAGCGACCTCGTGAAGCGGCTTAATTACCTCCTCCATCCGTGAGGAAGTCATGCAGTGATGATCAGATCTTGAGAGATTGATGCTTGATTTCGGGGCTTGTTGTGTTACTCCCCCATTAAGACTTATGTAACTCGTTCCTGTGTATTTGTGTCCGTATTTGGTCTGGTTGTCGGAGCCTTGCTACCGTAACTTTGTTCTATGGTCGTTATTTTATAATATAAAGCAAGAATGAGAAAACCTTTTTTCATCAATCGCATAGAGTGCACTCATTTGGGTGGGAGGGTGGATCTTGCATCTTCTCATTCCAACGCCAATGGGAATGGGCCGACAATACCCATTGGAACATTGGTCCGGCCAAAATTTCAACGCCAATGGGTATTCTGGGTCAATGCCAGTTCTTTTGTATCCTTGACCCGGATATCTCTTTCCTCCTCCATAAGAAAAGCTTTTTTCCTCCCATCAGCGCTGCCACTGGCCCGCCCCATATTCGATGGCCTCTAGGCCATGGAGGTGCGGAGGATCTCGTCCCCCCTCCCGGCAGGCGGGAGGGATCCTTTCTTGTTCTTGCTAGGTTCAACGTCTTGGTTGGGGTTGTGCGGCGGCGGCGATGTCTCTTAATAGGAATAATGTCTCCCACGTTTTATCCCCGTCCCGATGATGCGTCTAGTGTCGTCGGAGGGCATGTAGAGGCGTGTCTCCGTGATCTCGCGAGATTTGGTCGATGCTGGTCTTGGGTGGATCTGTTTAGACCCGGCCTTCGTCCGTCTTCGTTCGGGTGTTTACAGGTTTGGTCCTTCTGATCTACGACTTTCTTCATTGGTGATGGTTGCTACTCTGGTGCGTCGGTCCTATGGGACCTTAGCATTGACGACTTCTCGATTGTCTACTAGAACAAGGTTTGCCCAGCTATGGCCAGGGAGGGGGCAACGATGGTGGCACGCCTTCGGCTCATTCCAGTGCTTGTAGTCGTCGCTAGGTGGTCCACAGACATGGTTGTAACTTTTATTACCTCTGTTGTTCTTTCTACTTCCATGATTGAAGATGAATAGATTGGAAATTTCTTGCAAAAAAAAGGGTATTCTGGGCCGGCCTCATATGCAAACAGGGCAGGTGAGCCAGCCACCACTGGCACATCGAGACAACCGGGTCAACCCAAATTTGGTTGCCGAAGGTTGTATTATGTCGTTACCATAGCATATGCCTTTGAAAGGGATCCTTAGCCTTGTAGTTATCGGAAAAAAGTTAGGTACTCACCAAAATTCCGTTTGTTCTAGAATTACAAATATACTAACTTGTGATGCTAACGCTTTGATGATAGAAATGAGCATATATGCCTTGTTTTCCTTTGAACAAATAACATCTTCACATCATGCTAAAAAGTTCTACCACTAAATAATGCTATTTGAAAAGATGTTATTGTATTATTACTTCCTATTTTATGCAAATATAGTACTGTATTAGAAATGGGTCAGATCATGTTACCCAATGGGATATGATGCCAATCATTACTCGACCATTGAGCCGGCTCCATGACTCATCCTTAAATGGACCACTTTGTTTTGTTTTTTATGTGGTTTTCCTTATAAATTTGATCAATTTCTTTTGAACTATATTCAGGTGGACAATCTTTTCTTGGTGGCTGTTTAAAAGAGAAACAAGTTGCATATACATACGAAACATTATTATGCATGGAGATATTTTTTTGGTGGCCATTAGACGTGCCAAAATCACAAATTAAATAGGACCGTACTCACTTTTGAAATAAAAGATTGAGGGCCTCTTTGATACAAAGGATTCATAAAAAAATTATTGGAGGATTGAATCCTAAGGATTTTTTTTCTACGTGCATTGTTTGATTCGTAGGAATGCAATCCGCAAACAAAAATTTCTTAGGATTCATTTGTTCTAGATTTCACAAAAATATTTTCATCCACTCCAACCTCATGTGAAAATTCCTCTGTATTCCTTTGCTCAATCAAACTTTCATGCACATGGCATCCTATTCCTGCATATACTCCCTCCGTTTCGAATTACTTGTCGCATGTATGGATGTATCTAGATGTATTTTAGTTTTAGATACATCCATTTCAGCGACGAGTAATTTGGAACAGAGGGAGTATTTGTTTCTTCCATTTCTGCCTTTCACAAATCAGGAAGGGCCTGAATGGGATCGGACGGTCGGCGCTCCCTTGACGGCGCCGGCGTCTTCTCCCAGAGAAAAGGAAAGATAACTTCCCGGACAAACATCCCTTCTCCTTTCTTCGTTTCGTGCTTTCCTCTCCTTCTTCCTAGCGCGCGCAGACTTGTCCGCCACTTCACGGAAATTCCCCAAGAATACCTCTACATATATATACGCCGCCCGCCTCCATTCCGGTGTTCCTAGTTTCCACTCATCCGCCGCTGCACCCGAATCCCCGCCCCACGAAGCTTCGTCGCGCAAGGTACGTAATTTTCCTCCCGCTTCCTCCAATTCGGTGCAATTTTCCACGGAAACTTTGCCTGGGGCGCACCAAGAATTCGCATTCTTGGTGCTGGTGGCAGCTTGTGGGGTAGTTCCTGAGATTTGCCGCCCCGCCTGGGGATTCCTCGGGGTGCGAAATAGTCTTGCTGCCACCAGGCATATAAATCGGGGTGTTTGTTAGGAGAATCATAGCCAAACCCTAGAAATCTAGTTGCCTGCCGCCGAATTGAGCTTCTTCCTCTTTCGCGTAGGATTGGCCGGTTGAGGTTAAGGATTCTGGAATTAGGATGGATAATTTGGGGTTTACAATTAGGGGCCGGAATTTGGGGCAGCAGCCTGCAAGGCTGCTTCTAGATTCCTCTCTCATTGGGATTAGAGGGGGGTATTTAACCGAATCGCAGTGTTCACAGGCTAAAATTGCTTCTAGTTTGAATCGTGCTGCTTGGGAGCAGAATCCAAGTGGATTTCTTCCCAAGTCGCCTGTCGACGACTATGCTGTTACGCGCAAGTTAGCTCTGCCATGCTTACCAACACAAGGAAAGTATCTTGTCCACAAATCACCAAGGAAAGCATGTCGACCGAGGAGGTGGAGAAGAGTAGGGAGGGAATTAAGAGTCAACCCATTAGATCTAGATATCAATTTCTTGGTGATAGCCACTGGCTACTCATTAGGGATAGTATCAAAGAATTTAGACCAAAGGACATTAAGTCCCAGCTTTATTGCAAGCAAATGCTTAGTGGGGTCAATGATAGATGGACATCGGAACGGGAAAAGGATTAGGGTGAAAGATTTTGGTTTGGTTGGAGTAGGTTGCAAGACACGTCGATGGGCTATTAGGACCAAGGGAGAGACTTCCTTCGGTGAATCTTACCTGATGGCATCTGATGCAGGTGATGCTTTTAGCAACAACAGGCATCAAACAATGTCGATGAGTTACGATGGGTCTCAAAGTGAGGATCGGCAAAGTGAGGAGGTTCAGTCAGCATACAAAAAGTTCAGTGCAGGGGATGAGGACGCGATAAGGGGTTTTGTAAATTTGGATGAAACTGAAGAGCAAAATGAAGAAAATGAGTGGAGTTGGGTGCCCCAAGAGGAGGATCCTCTTGCTGAATCAGCTTCTTCGCTTGAGAAAGCACAAGAAGTTCTTGAAAAATTCTTCAAGAAAAATGAAGATCTTGAAAGTGGTATGTTCTTTTCTTTGTTATGTTATGCACTTTCTTTGTCATGTTACTGTGTAGTACTAGTAATCAATAGGCACCTTTTCCCCACTGTGCTTGTGAACCATCGACAGACTATGATAGCTTGTTTGGTTTACTATACTTTGTTAAGTGCTTGCAATCTTTAATTGCTTTTGGAACTTAACCTATGCTGAGCGGTATCAATAGCCCCTTACAACCTGATGCTGCTATGTTTCAGATTTCGTAAGAAATCTGTTGATCTTTACTGGGCAATTGACTGCTAATTTAAGGGCAATAAGTAGTTTATCCAGGTTTATGTGGTACTGGTTAGTTACAGCTCCAGTGCTTGCAATATATTTGTCTTACTGTCTGCTGTTAATGAATAAATACACTGTTAAACAATTATGTGATTGGTATTTTTATTTTTAACGTCATGCCGTGAAGATTTCCGACCGTTCTAAGAATCCTTGCACAATATTGAAAGGTTTTTGTTATAACATAATTTTGTAAACGAGCTCTTCACAGCATAACTAGGTTTATGTGTTATGTGGACAGCAATGCATGCACTTCCGGAAGTGTTTTTTTTTGGCTACTTCATGTTTTAAGGAATCATTTAACTCCTATTACCCTTGGTTATAACTCTGTTATTCCTATGTATACTGGTTAGGTTTTCATCCCTCTGGCCTCTATTGTGCACGATTCTGTTGAATTACCTGTAATAAGTGGTTTGTTCTACCCGTGTTCTTTTTCAGAGATGCTGAAATTGTCAGAACTTGGCAAGGGGTTTGTGGCTGAGGATTCACATGATGGCAACATAGGTTTGCCTTATATAGAGGCTGATGTACTGGGGATGAATCAAAAGATGGAATGTCTTGAACTGAAACTGAAAGAAGCGTCAGATACTATCACAGAGAAGGATTCAAGATTATCCGAGCTCCAGTTACTTATCAACAGTGCACATACACCAACGCTGCAGACGGAGCCCGTCAACATTGATGAGTTGGAGGCCGAGCTTGAGAGCCACCTTCAGGACAAAATCGAAGCCGAGATTCAGTGTCTGGTCATGGTGAAAGCGAGACAAAACTGGCAAGCCCGGGCCGAGGACCAGATCGCGTTGGACGAGCACAGGCTCTCCACCGGGGACGACATGAGAATGTTGCTCAAGCTGCAAGACACGGAGAAGAAGATCGTGATGCTGAAGGAACAGGTGGACAGACTAGAGGCCCACGAGAAGGAGCTGTCGGTGACGACGGAGGTCCTGAGGATGCAAAGCAAGACCTTCAAGATCGGCCTCTTCGGTCTCCTCCAGCTGATCATGCTGTGCCTTTCCCTCAAGATGTTCTTCGCCCAGGACTCTGCCCGCTTCGACGATCTCGTACCGACATGATGGCTAACTAGTTAGCGGTTGTTTTAGTCTGTATGTATGTAAATTCGGTTGATTGATTTGCGTCGTGTTAGGTCTAATTCACTGTGCCACGTTGTGAAAGTGTAACACGTCTGAAACTACGCGTGTCCTGCTGTAAATTATCTGTGTGCATATATATATGGTATATCTAGGTTTGCCTGACAAAGCTCATTGGCTATTTGCATTTACTGGGTAGTGCCAGCAGCAGTTCCGTTTGACAATTACTCCCTCCGTCCCATAAGACGTTTTTGCAAGCTATGTTTAGAAAACGTCTTATATTGTGGGACGGAGGAAGTAGTTTCATTCTGGTATCCGTTTGTTGAGCAGGTCCAGGTTTGACTGCTCTTTGAGCCAGTCTTCAATGTAGTCATTACGAGCAAGCAAGCAAGTAATTGGCTTCTAAACTTTGCTCCGGGCGGTCAGAACTGAACTCTGGATCTCCGGTCTTCTCCCGTTACGGTAACGGCGATGCCTAAGCGAAACCCGGAGGAAATACAGGCAGTTCTGACCCGGCGTTTCCTGCTCCCATCCTCTCTCGCTGCTTCGTTTTAAGGACCAAGACAAAGAAACAAATTATGAGTGATTAAACACTACTGCGCCAGTAGCATGTTCCTTAGCTGAGCACTGAAGGAGTACCAAATAAGCTAAGCTCTCATTTATGGCGTCGTAACCACGACGGTTTCGTTTGGGCTCTCTCTGCTTCACCTTCTGCAGAGACCATCGTTCCATTTGGGTTACAATAGTATTTCACTTGAGGAAACATTACTCGTGGATGAAAATACCCTTTTTCGAATATTTTTCCTTTATTTTTTGCTGGAAGTAATTTGTGCTCCCTCCGTCTACAAGGTTAGTACAAGGTTGTACTAAATCATCGATATTAATTTTGAGACTGAGGTAGTAGTATTACTCAAACTATTAGTCTTTGTGATGTCATTTATAAAATAGTTGCAAAGTGTTTTGCTAACAGACTAAGGCCACTGCTTTTCAAATATTTCCAAGTGGGCGTATCGAAGAAAGCCTCGCTTAGCAAGAGGTTCGAGAAAATCAGGTAGAAAAGGGATATACAAATGTAGAAACTAGACGGTATCACTGGTTCTGGCAAGGTAATAGTCCTGAACATAAATATATACTTAGTAAATGGGGTGTTTTTCTTTATACAAAGAGCAAAGGAGGACCGCGTATAAAATTTGGATGTTTGTAAATGTCTCTTGTAAATATATCTTTAATTAAGCATTTAAATTAGGTCATCACCTAGCAAGATGTCGTCCATATCAATGCCACGATATAATGTGCGAATAACTTTGAATACATCGGATGCCGCCACGTGTACATACTATCTAGAAGATTCCACGCTTAGCTTAAGCATAATACATATTGTGTACAAACCTTGAAACAAAGACACTCCTCCTATGTTTTAGAACCTTTCACACTTTAATTGTCCAACATTTGCTCTTCCTAAAGAATTGACATTTTATTTTATTTTATTACATACAACGCAGAATATGCCCAAAACACATATACTTCTCGTTTGTTCTAGACTCTTCTATACTAAAATTCTCCTAAGTTTTAACCAGGTAAACATTGTCCAACCAAAACTGCATGCAAAAGCTGCTTTCCCCCTGCATGCAGATAACTCCACCTCTTTACTCCTCATCCATGGCTCCCAGTACATTTTTTGGACAACTTTCAAGTTGAGATTTCAAAATGTTTAAGAAAATTTCATTTTAATGGAAATTCAAACTTTTAAATTGTAATCTTCTAACAATTTCTACATATGAAACTTCCAAATGTGTTGAACTTTTGGAGTATTTCAAACTTTTAGAAATTACGAAGGTTTGAATTTTGAAATTTCAAGCTTCCAAAATTTAAATTAAAAGGTACGAGTGATATAGACACAGGAGGTGGGCCTCTCTGGTTTGTCACCGTCTACATGATGGCAAACAAAGTGTTGGAGATATGAAAGAGGTGTTGTGTGCGCAGGAGATACGGCATGTGAGATGAGAATGCAAATTGGTAGATTTGGTGCGCATGTGAAGGAGGCGCGAGAGTGGTGACCGTACCCGCCAATTAGCAAATCTGCAAAATGAATATTTATAAAGATAAATTGAGATATTATTTGGAAATGAAAACGTTCTCTAGCTCAAACTATTTACTCGATTCACAATTCTTTTTTAACAAGTGTATGTTTCAGTAAACATTTTTTGAACTCTTTTGTTACCAGGCGGTAATGCACTAGTTGTGATTCTATTTTACAATAAGACACCATGAAGGCTGATGAGTCATTATCACCCTGTAATAATTACTTTTGAACATTCTGTTAAGGACACCACTGCCATGATCATGACTATTAGTAGACAATCTCATCACTACATTACCATAGTTGTCGGTCAATAAGCATAATAAGTAGTTATCAATCTACTTTTGCAAAAAAAAAAATCATGAAATTCGATAAGTAAATTACTAACACAAATTTATTTGTTATCAGGCAACATGACAAGTACATCACTACCATGACAGTAACTACGACTAACAACTGTATCCGAAAATTGTTTGTTTAGTGAAATTGCATAATTAAAGGGGTCACTAGAATGCATGACTAGTTAACTATGCGAGAATTCTAGCAATTTTAATAGCACACTAGGTAAAGCTAGGGTTGCCACTATAGAAGGCAAAATAATATAATCAACCAAGAGAACATGGAGACATGATATAGACCCGAAGTTCAAATCCTTGGTGGAAGAGGGATCGAAGGTTCTACGTATCCATTGGAGGGGCATGGAGACCAAGTTCCATCACCACAAAGTCATACCCTTCTTCTCCTTGAACTTTAGGAGAATGTTTGAGCTCATCCAATAAGAAGGTGACTTGAGGAGCTCTACAACCTTCACAAACATCTTGGGAAAAAAATCCAGAAGATTGGATGTTTCCTAGCGATTACGACATCCAGGAGTCCCCACAACTTCATTAGTAACAAGCCCGGTGAAAAACTCCAATGGGGATCAAAGTTTTGCTCGATCTGCGCAAATTTTTCTTCTCCTCACTTAGATGGAAGGTTGAGTCCTTGTGGAAGAATCTTCTTACCATTGGGGGCATAAGGGTATATATACGTGTCTTCATGAAATCTAACCCTTGGATGTCTCTATGCTAGCTCAGAGCCCGAGATCAAAGTTTCGAGGGTCTGGGAGTCCTAATCTCTCCATAAATTCTATGTTGTCTAACACCTAACCTAGGCAATTCAGAGGTTCAAGCCACTATAGGGTTCTGGAGCTCCAAGGATCTCTGGATAATTGCTAGGCTATCAAGTGTCAAATCTAGGTAGTTTTTGAAGGAAATATGCCCTAGAGGCAATAATAAAGTTGTTATTTTATACTTCCTTATTCATGATAAATGTTTATTATTCATGCTAGAATTGTATTAACTAGAAACTTGATACATGTGTGAATACATAGACAAAACACCGTGTCCCTAGTATGCCTCTACTTGACTAGCTCGTTGATCAAAGATGGTTAAGTTTCCTAGACATGACATGTGTTGTCATTTGATGAACGGGATCACATCATTAGGAGAATGATGTGATGGACAAGACCCATCCGTTAGCATAGCATAATGATCGTTCAATTTTACTGCTACTGCTTTCTTCATGTCAAATACATATTCCTCCGACTATGAGATCATGCAACTCCCGGACATCGGAGGAATACCTTGTGTGCTATCAAACATCACAACGTAACTGGGTGATTATAAAGATGCTCTACTGGTACCTCTGAAGTTATTTGTTGGGTTGTCATAGATCGAGATTAGGATTTGTCACTCCGAGTATCGGAGAGGTATCTCTGGGCCCTCTCGGTAATGCACATCATATGAAGCCTTGCAAGCAATGTAACTAATGAGTTAGTTACGGGATGATGCACTACGAAACGATTAGAGAGACTTGCCAGTAATGATATTGAACTAGGTATGAAGATACCGACGATCGAATCTCGGGCAAGTAACATACTGATGACAAAGGGAATAACTATATTGACATTGCGGTTCGACCGATGAAGAGCTTCATAGAATATGTGGGAACCAATATGAGCAGCCAGGTTCCGCTATTGGTTATTGACTAGAGAGGTGTCTCGTTCATGTCTACATAGTTCTCGAACCCGTAGGGTCTGCAAGCTTAACGTTCGATGACGATTGGTATTATATGAGTTATGTGTTTTGGTGATAGAAGGTTGTTCGAGTCCCGGATGAGATCACAGACTTGACGAGGAGTCTCGAAATGGTCGGGAGGTAAAAATTGATATATTGTAAGGTTAAATTCGGACACCAGAATGGTTTTGGGAAGTTTCAGATGTTTCTCGGAGTACCAGGAGGTTACCGAAACCCCCCGTGGAAGTAATGGGCCAACATGGGCCATAGGGGAGAGAGAGGGAGCCCACAAGGGGTGGTGCCCCCCCATGGGCTGTCCGAATTGGACAAGGGGAAGGGGGCACGGCCCCCCTTTCCTTTCCCCCTCTCCCTCTCCTTCCCTCTTTCCATCTCCATGAGAAGGAAAAGGGGGGGGCGAATCCTACTAGGAGTGGAGTCCTAGTGGGACTCCTCCCTTGGCGTGCCCCCTTGGTGGTCGGCCTCCTCCTCTCCTCCTTTATATATGGGGGCGAGGGGGCACCCCAAAGACACACCAATTGTTTAGCCATGTGCGGTGCCCCCCTCCACCGTTTACTCCTTCGATCATATCATTGTAGTGCTTAGACGAAGCCCTGCATGGATTACTTCACCAACACCGTCATCACACCGTCGTGCTGACGGAACTCATCGACTCCATCGACACTCTGCTGGATCAAGAGTTCGAGGGATGTCATCGAGCTGAACGTGTGCAGAACTCGGAGGCGCCATACGTTCGATACTTGATCGGTTGATTCGAGAAGACGTTCAACTACATCAACCGCGTTAAGTTAACGCTTCCGCTTTCAGTCTAAGAGGGTACATGGACACACTCTCCCCTCTTGTTGCTATGCATCTCCTAGATAGATCTTGCGTGAGCGTAGGAATTTTTTTGAAATTGCGTGCTACGTTTCCCAACAGTTTTAAGCATAGCTCAAAGTCTCAAACCACTACCGAGGGCATAGAAAAAACAAAAACAACAAATCTTAGGAGGGATTTATGGTGGATTTCCTTGAAGCATATTGAATGTATTTGTGAAGTGTTTTAAGCAATAATCCCCACTCCCTGACCAATACGACATCCCTGTGAGTAAACACATAAAAGTTAGCAACTTAAATTTAAAATCATCATCTTCTTCTACCCTTTTTGCTAAGGGGTTCTCTGACCACCTTCCTTTCCATTTCCCCAGGACTATCACTATTCATACAATTCATGCACAACATTAGTGTTGCAGTTGAATCCAGTGGATCTCGGGTAGGGGGCCCTAGCAGGTGATCTTAGCTAGATGGTAACATGGCAAAGAGGGACACGAAGTTTTACCAGGTTCGGGCCCCCTCGAAGAAGTAAAACCCTATGTCATGCTTTTGTTGTATTGATTGTGATGGAATACAATACAAGATGATCTACCTCGAGATCATATGTGAATGAATGTTTCTCTACTCTATGGTCTAAAACCCCCCGGCTTATATAGACACCGGGGGTACCTAGGGTTACATGTAAGTCGGTTGCATCTAGGGATAAACATGTCGATGATTAAACATGTCTTGGAGTGTGCTCCAAGTCTTTGGAGGATTCCATCTTGAGTACACCTTGGGGCATGGTAAACTTGTCCCACTCATCGATTGCATGAGGGTCCTTGGCCTGGCCCACAATTTGGGGGCCGACGTGGCTAGCACCCCGTAGTCTAGGACATCATCAATTAGTCCCCCACAACTTGCCATTAACATGGAAACCCACTTAGATAAAATATTCTCTTTAATTTTCATTTGACCTCCATAGGCGAATGACATGGAAAGGTTCTTTCGTAAAATAGAAAATTGTTGACTGCTAGCTAGACCAGATTCAGACGTGAGTTCTTTATCTTCTATGTGGCAGACAAGTACTTCTATTCTGAAATACCTCATATTCCGTTCCTTCCATATCTCCCATGAGACAAGCATAGTCATGAAAACCCTAGATTTTTCTAGGTTCTGTTATATGTACCATGCACACGACGACGAGCAATTTTTCTTCTTTCGGAAAACAGATACAACCAGCAATTAATGATGTTTGAGCTCGTTCGAACTCACACATGCTCACGTCGAAGGTAGGTTAATAACCATCGCCAATACCCCACATGGAGAAAACCATTCTAGTGAAACGACAATTGTATTAATTGAAGGTGGGTAACCGTGTGACGCTTCGGCTCCCGTTTGCATGAAATGTACACCGAGTCATTGGGCGAACCACAAAGTTAAGCATGTTCTTCCTTCAAAGATGATTGAAGACTGCCAACCATCTAAGCGTATAATTTGTGTTTAGGTGGAATCCAAACCTTCAAAGAGAAAATTCAACAATTTCTAAGAACACTTTCTTTTAACATAAAAAGTATACCTCACATGAACCATCTCATCAATCTTTGAGAGCACAAAATCCCCAATATACCCCCTAAATAGGTGTGCTTTCACTAGTAGAAAAACGACTTTTAGTACCGGTTCGTAAGGATCTTTAGTACCGGTTCTGGAACCGGCATTAAAGAGTGGGGACTAAAGGCCCACCACGAACCGGGACCAAAGGCCCACCACGTGGCACGAGGCGCGCCGTGGTCTGGGGGACCTTTAGTCCCGGTTGCTAAGGATTTTTTTTATTTTTATTTTTAAAATAAAGCAAAAACAGCCCGTCTACTGGGCCGGCACGGCCTGCATACGACTAGAAACCCAATATCTAGTTGGGCCAGGATGCAGGCCCGTACAGCCCAGTAGGCCCACAGGGCAGAAGACTTGCAATAGGCTCACAAAGGCCTGCTTAGAGAGGAGCTCGACACGGTAGCCGCGGCGGGGCTTATAAACCGGTGCGAGCTCCTCTCAACTAGCGAGGTGGGACTAAATATTGTGCACCGCGGATGGCAGCGCACCACCTTTAGTACCGGTTGGTGGTTCCAACCGGTACTAAGGGGGGGGGGTCTTTAGTACCGGTTGGAGTCACCAATCCGTTCTAAATCCCCCACCTTTAGTACCGGTTCGTGGCACGAACCGGTACTAAAGGTTCGCCACGAACCGGTACTAATGAGCGCCGCCCGCTTGGCCGTTGGAACCGGCACTAGTGATCACATTAGTGCCGGTTCAATTGCAAACCGGGACTAATGAGTTTCACATTTGACTCTTTTTCTACTAGTGTTTGTAGGCGAAAGCAACCTGCTAAGCCCTATCAGTCGTGATAATGTTCCTGATATGAGGTGCTCAAGCGAGAAACCACTTATTTGCTGCCATAGTGTCACAAAAGCTATGTTTGGAATTTCAGTGGCCTTTTGAAAAAGACTTTTTGTTTGTATTTAGGAATATAATTATTTGTTCTGCAAGCTTTTTTAAGAGTGAGGTTTTCTTTTTTCTAGAATTAGAGTTTCTATTTTCCAATCTAACTAGACTGTATATTTTTTTGCAAGAAAAAAAAGAAAACTAGATTGGATATATAGTTGAGCACAGTTCAGCATAGCAACCACAAGCTGTACCGAATTCTTGGATTTGCTGTAAGAAGTGTTTGCCAAATCAACAAGCATACACGATCTATCACAACGTGCTACCCGCTCCTGCTGCATG